CGCTAAATATTTAATATACATTAGATCTTGTCCTCACAATGACCCTGCAGACATAACTTCCTTTGCTAGGAAAAAGAGGGTAGAAGACAAATTCTCCTTCTCTGTTTTCCTTTTCTTATTTTTCTCTATCTTTTAAAAAAACAACTCACTGTTCAGTTGGGAAAAGCAAAAAACATCTTGCTACTACTATCTTCACATTTATCATAAAACATCTGTGGCTGGATGAGGATTCTTTTTTTTTGCCCCTAAAAGGAACAAAAACTTAAGATTTTATGTTTTCAATTCTTGAAAATATAAAAAACATTTAGGAAACCTTAAAAATAACAAAAATATTAAATTATTAGTTCCTAAATTGATTCAAGGATAGCTATATATTGATATCACCTCATCCACTTTCACTGGTTCACAGTAATTCCTTGAGCCCCTAAGCGAATTCTTCTGGCCATTTCTTAGTTTTCTCTGACTTATTGAGGTTTTAGTATAAATGCTGAATCTTAAGGCTGTGTTTTACTGCTCTTTATCTAATCTCTGTTTTCCCCTTTCCTCCACCCATTGGACGATGTTTATACAATGTAGGAAATTCAATCTATGTAGAAACAAATTACTGATCTTAAAAATCTGACATTTATTAATATGGGATATTTTATACAGATGTATATTACTTTAAGAATATGTTGATTCCTAAGAGACAAGCTAATTCCTATAAACCAAATCATACCTACAGGAAAAAAAATTGGTCCAGATTCACACTTGTGAATGCTATATATTTTTAAAATTCATATACATTTAGACAGGGAAAAAAAAACCCCTAAGAAATAATGGTAAAAATTACTTCAAAATTAAACTACCATACCATAAACATGTTCTCTTTGATCTATATTAAAGTGAGAAGACACACTCTTGGGATTGTCTGCCTTTTCAAAAATGGGAATTTCTTGTATTTTCTCTATGTTAAATGCTAAATATAGTGAAACCCCTTGCCTATATGATCAGATATAGATTTCCTGTATTTTAAAGCTCATCTCTTCACATACCTGTGTAACTGCTAGTAAAGTTATGAACGTTCTTAATGCAGAAAGGCCCATATATAGATTACAGGTGCTTAATAATGCAATTTTGCAATATGGTTCACTCATTCATTTGTCCATTCATTCTCTTCACCCATTCGTTCTTCAAATATGTATTACATGCCAACTATGCACCCAATAGTGTTATAAATGCTGGGGAATACAGAGATGAACAAACAAAAAAATCCCTGCCCTCATGGAGCTTACATTCTAGTTCCTCAAAAGGGATCTGTGGCTAAAATATTAAGTATTCAAAATCCAAGAGGAAAAGTTTTTGAAAGGGTCTATTAGATACTTCAAAGAAGCAAAGGCTACAATAGTACTACATTTAACATTTGTAATGTGTCTTATTTTTATCAAAAATAAAAATCACATGTTAGGTTTATTAATTTCCTTGAATTTTAATTTATATTTATTACTTCTAATTTTCTCACACTTTGTTACTGATAACTTCTACTGTTCCTTGAAGAGAATAAACATGAACAATCCTTTTAATTTTCCAACCTGATGATCAATAGGTATCAATCAAGTGATGGTCTTCAGAAGAGCAATTTTTTGTTATAAAGGAATTGACTTCACAATTACAGGACTGTTTGCCACTGCTGCCTCTGAAAGACTTAACCACTGACTGGAGTTTTGACTGGGTATGCCAGTATTTGAAATAATTTGTTAGGTATCTTAATTTCTTTCTTTTTTACTGTTCCATTAACTGAAAATATGGGTTCTTAGCATTAGTATGTGGTAAAGGCCATCATTAGAAACTAGACTTTGCCCATGGCAGAGATTACAGCTAATCTTTACCTGGCATTGCTGTCAGTGTACTTACTGCTAATGTGCTCTGGACCTTTCTTCCACTGAGCTCTCAATTGCTGCCTCTGTCATTGATTTCTCTGACCAAAATCCTTGAATTATTCTGAATTCAATATGGCCAGGCAACATCTGTTGTCAAGCTCAGGGGTCCTTCATCTTTTCTTGGGCTTCTCCCTCTTAATGTCATAGCCAAGAGTAATGTTTTCCATTCTCACCTGCAGAACTTTTCCACCCTCCTTCACTTTCTAACAGGAAACTGTGAGAAACTGTGAAATTTGTAAGTATGCCACAAAGTGATAAAGGATGCAAAGCCAGGAATCAGGATACCAACTTTGCTCTGCACAGAATACAGAAAGATCCAAATGTATTACGGAAATGCCACTCTGTGTATGGTTTCTAGATTTCCATTTTTATATTTATTCAACAAATGTTACGAGTGCTTATTAGGTCCTAAGGACTGTTATACCACTGGTTTCTTTTAGTGGGAATCCACCAACACTGCTTCAATGTAAGAGTGGTAAATTTCTGATCTATAGGTCATGTTCAGTCATTAGTTCAATTTCTTCTACCCCAGAGAGAAGGATCAAGAAATGGAATCACAGCAGGCCTTTAAAAATCTTTAGAAGCAATAAGATAGACTACGTCAATGAAGAGAGGCCTGTATCTTTCTCCTTTATTGGTGTGTATACCTGTCTCTACCTCTTTGCTCTAGTTTTTCTCTTCATTCTGTCTCATTTCTTTAACTGGCCATTATAGGGCAATGGGATATACAGGTTATCTCCTGTATTTACTGAATTACATTCCCATTTTCAATTTAAAAGGGAGACCAAATTAACACTTTATATTTTTATCCTAAAACAAAGTCTTTTTGCTGCTTTTGTTTGGAGGGGTGGGAAAAACAACTCTACAGTCCTTGAAATTCCTTTCACCGTCTCTACTCATTAGCTCAGTGAACTGAAATTTCATCTCAGCAGGCATAAATATTGTATTAAAAAATAAAACAATAATAAACATTGTACTTCAAGATCTACACAAAAAAGGAATACAATCAAAGTTTATAAGGCATTAAGTGTAAAAGGTAAATAAATGTTTCATGGAGAAAGTAAATAAAAAACTATCCAGATATAATTTCAACAAAAAAATAGAATAGAAATAAATGCATTCAAAGGAAGAGTAATCATTTTATCATTTTTATACAACAAAAATAAGGATTCTCCACTCCTAAGAACCATTTTCATGCAGATTTTATCACAATATTATTTTATATTTTCCATTTTACAATTTCTCTCTTCAGTAATTGCTATAAACTGTAAATTACTCAAACACTTAATTTCCCAGGATTAAATATCTTCCTAAAAACTCTATATAATCCCCATTACATAAGAACGTCACAGTATCTTTTCTTTACCACACAAAAAAACTATAATAATTATAACTTATTCTTTATTTGTCATCTTTCTACAGAAATTATCAGGATTTAGCCTTACCAGGAAATTATACACATTATGAATACAAGTTTTAATAGACTACTGATCAGACTATTATGTTGCAAGTATTTCTAGAACATGATATCACAAATTAAGTCATTAATTCAAAAACAAGTTTATTAACAAAAAAAGTACAAAGAAGTACAAATGGACATCCTATTTCCCCCCATTATGGTCCATCTATCTATCTCCCTTTCAGTCCATGGCACAGCCTTCCGGAGCTAAAAGAATAGGTAAAATACTTCTCTTTCCAATGGGCCTGATAACCATCCAAAACCAAATCATTATGTATTTAAGTTACACAGTCCATGTCAAAGTTTTAAAAAATGTTTTATCTATATGAGTTGCCATAAAAGCCTCCTCCCTTGCAATAGACCATGTACCTAAACTGAATGAAACATATCAGCATCAACATCCAGAAATCATGCTTATACACAGGGAATGTCAGATCATTAGTATGTTTGCCTTGAAGTAACAGATTACAAATGAAAGCTCAGAAGTGTCAAAAAAGGATTTTCATAGATATTTACTAAACACTTCAAGTCAAAAACATCTTGTTAACTGAATTAAATTGAGGTACATGGAAAACATTCAGTTTAGCTGAGTTTTTTGCACTGATTTTTAAATCAAAGCTACTCACACATCTAATCTATTATCTCAGTTTTCTTCAATAATGGCTCCTTTTCAATTTATTTCAATAAACCTACAGTTTTTTCATACTTCTCTCTCTATAAGCCCGAAGTACTTCTCTGAATCATGGTAAATTCCCAATACTTCTGGATTTTCCTCACAGGGCTATAGATGAAAGATATAAATTGCCATGTTTCAGTAAATAATGCCCAATTTGCTCTTTCTTCTACAATTCATCAAGACAGAACATGTGGATTAATTTACTGAGGTTCCTAAAAGCCATGTGTAAAATTTATTAGATGATATATTTTTTTGAGTGGTAAACACCAGCCATTTGGGGTTTGTGGAGGCAGCCACGTCAGAGCTTTCCACTCTATTTTAGTCCCTGCTTAGAACTATTCTATAAAGAACATGAGTTCAGTGTTAGACTAGGCTGTAGTAACATAAGGTGCTAGACCAGTGATACATTTTTTGGGAACTGTAAAATTCAGATGACCACTCACTAAACATAAAATCATTATTCCACAAAGATTTTATTCACATCAAACTTGCACAGAGCAAAAAAAAAATCAAAACATAACTAAGCCACATATCAAAGAACAATATACAATAAAGGTTTGAATTTCTCAATGGCATTGGAAAGTATTTTCATAAATAACATTTACAATTCTAGTGTTAGATCTTTCAAGGTGTCTGAAGCTTCACAGTGCTAGAATTGATTTTTATCAGAACACATGCAAAAATGTGCAACATAATAATTCATATTAATGACAGAAAAAAGCACGCCAGTTATTTTTCATTCCAGCACGGCCATGCCACTCTATATTCTAAAATCAAACAACCCCCCAAATCCGGGTCCCATTCATTCTTCAATTATGCCTTTAGTCACTCTGTTTTATTATATTCAAACAGTCACTGTTAGTGCTCTTCACCACGACTTTCAGGTTGACGTCACTCCCTGCCTGCTGGCTGTCAGGACTGGGGGACGCCCCTCTCCCAGACTCACCTTCTTCCGGATGTCTTCATCATTTGCTCCTAGAGAGGCATAGAGCTTGAATGCAGCCTGGCGGAGTTCATGAGCATGTTTTAAATCATGATCAAGCTATGGGAGGGAAAAAAAGGTATACTGCAACTCAGTCCACAGATCTAATTTCCAATAAAATTGAGTTAAAATTTTTTTTAAAAAATTAACTATTAAGATATTAGTGCTCTCACTGAATTGCTGCTTATTTTTGGGTTCTGTTCACATATGACTAAGACCTTGCTGTGTTTGCATCAGCATGATCTGGAATGCATGCGGTCCGCTTCTGTCTAAAAGTGAACGCCACAACATTTGACACTGGTGCATGAAAAATCTTTGTGAATAACTGACCCTTAAAAATTCAATGTTCTTAGATGGTAGCTTTAGCGGCACTGCTTGCTTGCACCAGCTCTTTGAAATGCTGTCCTCAAAAAGTAGGCACTCAGGTCTGTCTAGCCACAGGCTACAGCTGATAACATGAATACCGCTGTAACAGGGTCCCTAGGAGGTTTTCTTAACACTAAGAGCAATGTTAGGCCAATTTCAGCATTTAACAAGATTTTAGAAAGAGGAAAACCTTTGTGAAAATTCTTAATAAACAATAGACCATGGTAATCATTACTATGTTATCTATTACAATTATCTGAGGCTTATGTTCAGAGGTTTCTTTGATAAGTTTAAGGTTACTTACTGGTATGAAACAATTAATGCTATCTTTCCATATGCATAATTGACTAAGTTATCAGTTCTTCTGTGTATCTAATTATCACTAAACTACCTCAAAAATGAAATAGAAGCATATTCTCATGACATTTTCAATGACTAAATATAAATCAGTAAATGTATAAGGCATATATTAATAATGTAAATAATTCTGTAAGTAATTCATTGGAATGACTACCACTCCAAATGAGGTGCCTTGGAAAGGTTCCCTTTTATGCAATGATGTTAAATATTGTTTACAACATTCTGAGACTCTTTTGAAACTTCCTAAAGAGCTAAATGGCATATTAGCTAGAAGGCCCTAAATTCATCAACTAGGAGTTTTATTAATTGTCACTGTAGTGTGTGAAAATGGGGAAATAAATTCAGCTAGGTAACATCATTTATGGTAACAATAACAACAGGGGTGCCTGGGTGGCTCAGTCAGTTAAGTATCTGCCTTTAGCTCAGGTCATGATCTGGGGCTCTGGGATTGAGGCCCACATCTGGCTCCCCGTTCACTGGGGAGTCTGCTTCTCCCTCTCCTTCTGCCTCTCCCCTCTCATGCTCCCTTTCCTTCTCTCTCTCTCAAAGTATTCAAACAAACAAAAAAACTAAAAAAACAACAGTAGTTTCAAAAATATTTTGATCACAGCAGGCACTGCCGGATTATGGGAGGAACTCCAATACCCAACATTCATTTTGATGTATAAGTTCTAAAATATCTATATCCTTAAAGTCTTACGTACTTTCTAGTCATAGCCATAGCATACATTAGAATACAGATTTGGATTAAATATATAATGAAAATCACACATTTATGACTATGTAAGAATTTCTCACAATGGGTCTAGTATCAGTATTTTTATGGTCAGAAACCATTATATAATCAAGCATCAAAAATAAAGATGACAAAACAAATATTCAGGTATGGTATAAAAGATCATTTAAAAAATTATTACTATTCTAGTTTTACTGTGATGGAAATAAAATTGGGAAAAACCCCAACATAGGGATAATTTTCTATACACTAGTTAAATGATTTACACAGGGCAGCCCAGGTGGCTCAGCGGTTTAGCGCCACCTTCAGCCCAGGGTGTGATCCTGGAGACCTGGGATCGAGTCCCATGTCAGGCTCCCTGCATGGAGCCTGCTTCTCACTCTGCCTGTGTCTGTTCCTCTCTCTCTCTCTCTCTCATGAATAAATAAAATCTTTAAAAATGAATGAATGAATGAATGATTTACACAGGTATAAGCTACAAGTTCTTATGTTTTCTCACTCTCCTGTCCATCAAAGTGTCCTATTTGCCTTGCTAGAATGGTCAACTGAGGGTGTATATGAGGCCAGTTAGGACTTGCTCAGGTATCTTTACACCAGTGACATACTGTGTCAATGTGTGCAAGTGGCCAGAGGGAAAACAGACTAGGTAGATGGTTCAAAGTAATCTATTACCTATACTGGAAGAACAATACTACTGAAGGAAGAACAGGCATTAATTTTAATATATAGTGTACATTACTAACACCAGTAACAGTGAAGGTTACTTTGGGCCCTTTCTAAGAAAAAAGATAAACCATTAAGAGTTCCTTTTCGGTGTTAAAAGCCAAATGAACAGTTGCCTGCCAAATGAAGTTTTTGGGAACTCAGGGACATGGGAGAGGTCAAAAGGAAAGTTAAAAAAAAAAAAATTACCATTGGGACCACTGGCATTAAAAATATAGTCACGTTCATGAAACAGTACCACTTACTAATTAGAAGGCAATGCTCTCTCTACCATGACCTCCTTAAATAAACTTTCTCTAATTGAATATTGTTCTCTTACTCTTAGAGAACTGGATATGACTAACAGGCTGAGAATAAAATCAAAAGAAATATCTAACTAGTCTAAGGAACTTACAGTTTGAGAAAAAGTTTGAGAAAAGCAGTTTGGTTCTTGATGCTCTCAAACTAGAGGTTATATAGTACTTTAGTGGACACTAGCAGGCCCAAAGCACAGTATAAAACTGAAGCAAGGAAAGAGAAGACGACAAAAGTTAGAAAACATAGCGAAAGAGAAAGACAGTGGTGGAAAGTCAAATAAGGCCACTCACAAGAAGATTACCCTTAACCTAAAGAATGAGAATATAGCAAGAGAGGATTCTGGGAACTTCAATAGGATTAGATGATGTTGCTATAATGTCAATACCCAGCTTAGAGACCCCACTATTTTTGGATCTTAGTTGGGAATTAGGGATGTAATTTTCTTCCTTCCTGGTTACCTGCTTAGTGAAAAATTTCTGATACTTACGTGAAACAAACTGGATTCAAAAACCTATAAAACATCATCTATGTTATCAAACAGAATAGATTCCTTCATTTAAAAGGGCTCTGAACTCTAATTATCTATTGGTTCAAAGTTGTGAGCAGTAAGAAAAAAAATCTTAAAAAATTCCTTTCTTGAGCTGCTGAAAAGGAAAACAGAACATACCCTTTTAATATCAGTGATGGCACTCACTGAGCTGGGATACTTGAAATAATCAGCAAGCATGGCAATGAGGTGATCAGTTATGCTAGCGATTCTCTGTAGCTCAACATCTGGTTCAATCAGATAGGCGAGTGTCTCAGCTCCTTCAACTCTCTCCTCTAGTAATCTCTCCTTACTGCACATTCGAACCAAACAAGGCAGTGTCTGGAAGGTAGTGAAATTTATTATTTGCTTTGTGGTAAAGGCAAAAGGTTGATGGAGAGCATATAGTGACTCAATCAACTCAATGGTTTTTACTGGCAGGCATGTTAGAGATCAAATGTTTGAATAAAGACTTTCAGAGAATGAAAGGTTTTTTGGGATGTAAAAACAAAGTTCAGTGTATATTAATCATTTGTGCTGGCACACTAAACCATAAATCATACAATCAAAGCACATTAATACAAATCATTAGTCAGGCTTTTATCACGGATAAAACTGAAACTTTACTGTATAACCTTATAAAAGACATTTAAGAATTCCCTAATAAATCATGTCTGACGTTTCTGCCCCATCTATGTATTTATTTACTTAAAAGACATCCAGCAGTTTAATCAGGAACAACTGTGCCATAGAAAAAGTATGCTATCTTTTCCTTAGTGAATAATAGGACTGAGATGAATTTTATTTTTGGTGGGTGATCAATACCTACAGTTGCAAAACCAAAATACCACTAAAAATTTAGTGATCTTATCATTACTCAGATTCCATGAGTTTCCCTATAATGCGAGTGAAATGCATCAATTGTAATTCCTAGATTTTCCAAATTACTCCCTGTAAGGACTATATCTACTAGCCCAATTTTACTTCTGAGGTCCTTCAAAAATCCTGGTGCTGGTCTTGGTAATTTATCTACATTAGGTACTCAATAAAAAAAAATTCCCATGTATTTACTATGTCTAAGGCTGATGAACCCACATTAAAAGGATAACACAAAGATGGAAACTGAAATGTTATAATTATAGGAAGTCTTTCTCAACACTGTAGTCAACTGTGCTTTGCTCTTTTCTAAGTTCCTATTATATCTTTATCATAAAGTTTAGCACTTTATTGTTCACTACTGATTTTCTATCAAGCTAGTGCAGGCTTTATAATACAATCCTAGGCTTCCAAGAGGAAAAACCTATTATTCTTATTTTTTTGAACAGTTACTAACATTTACTAATACCACAAATCCATGGATTGTTGAGTGTAATACTCACAACTAGTACGTGAAGAAGATGCTATTAACCTAGTTTACCAATTAGGGAGAAGAGGAGGGGTAGAGCAGTTGAGCAAATAAACCAAGGTTACTTGCATGGAATCCTTAGAACTCTACACAATGTTGCTTACTAAGGGGGAAGGGTCCTCAGATCTCATTAAATTAATTGACTTGCTTCACCAAAGACTATGAGCAAGTATTCGTCTTAAATGTTCTTTTATTCTTGGGTTCATTTTGTACACTGATAATGAGAGATCTCAGGTTCATAAAATGATATATAGTCAATGTATTGACATTTATTTTGTTTTAGAAGAGTAAGGGATGTGCCCAAAGTTACCAAGCCAGTCAGTGGTGAAATTCAGGTCTTATAATTTTTAGGCCAGTCTCTTACCTGAGTTTCTCTGTGTTCTAGTTGCTTCTGACATGTCACAATAAATATTGATGGCTTTCATGTGTTATTATCTTTTTCTTTCTCATTATGTCTTTTGATTATCTGCCATGAGGGTGATATAAAGTCTTTGTCTACAGAGCTAGTGAACTGCTTTCCTATAAAACTATGTTGCAAACTTAATGAAACTCAAGGATTAAAATATATTTTATATTTCACTTGAATTTTACATATTTTTACAACGTCTATGTCTTCCTAATTTCCATAAAAATGAAAAAGGTGTGACAAGGAAAGAACTATTTCACTTTCACTCTTAAAACACATCTAAAACCAATTTTTTAAAAACTACATGGCATTTCATATAGAATAGAAAGAAAAGCATGATGTTTTAATATCATTTTATGCTATGCACACATACCATAGTTGTAAATGTATAAAAAGAAATAGAAAAAAAAGAAATGGGAATACCAAGATTTATATTCAACACTTACGACTTAGTGACTTTTATGTGTGTTCAGAGAGAATTAGCTCACCTTTAATACAATACAGTTGTCATCTGTCCGAATTGCTCCAGCTCTACACATGTAAGTTAAACTGGAATAAGATGGCAAAAAGTAAGTTTTTGCTTGTGTTTTAAAGCTTTAAAAGAAAAATTCCTTGGCTTTAGGATTTTATGGGGCAAAAAAAGACAGCTACTCTTCATCTTGTGGGAGGTTTTTCACATTACCTTATATGAGGTTCTGCCAATTTACTACTCAAAAGCAACTAATGGATATATACAGACAATAAAGTCAGATATTTTTAAGAAATGCATACAAAATTGTTTTTTAAAAATAAAGGCTTAATGAGTGGATAAACTGAAGCCAGGTGCCAGCCACACTGGAGGTCCTTACACTTTTTTCTACACGTTTCTGTGTTAGAAAGTTTCCATAATAAAAAGGGAGAAAAAGTTAAAAATATAAAGTTAAAATATAAAATATAAAAATATAAAGTTCACAAAGTATCTAAGATTATATCAAGCTAAACTGGGATATTCTAACTCCAATAAGAGTAATATAAGTATCACAGAAGAAGCATCTAACATTTAACACTTAGAGATAGCCATAAGAAATTAATGATTCTTCAGAGTTTGCCAGCAGTGGCTTTGACAACTGGTCAATGATTTGGTTGTACTGAACTGAATAACAATTTGCCTTCACAATTGTATCTGGCTTTGAACTAAGTAGCTACTGAACACTGAGCACTTTAGAAACTTAACGAATTTCCTTTTTGGATTAGATTTCTTTAGTAAGCTGGGCGGGCAGGGGGAGGGGAGCAGGGTGGTAGTACATCTAAAACACTCCATATTCTGGCTTCTACAGAAAGCTATTTTTAAAAAATCAATAAATTTTTTACTTAGATTATAGAGGACTGAATTGTTTATAGCTGTTATCACCTTAAGACTTGTTACCACATTTTTAAAAAACCGATTCCACAAGAGCATTTATCTTACTTAACAAAGTTTTTTTTTTTTAACAAAGGTTTTGAAGACAAAAAGCAAACTAGTATACAATATACTCATATAAAAAAATTCATTGTGCATGAGTAATTCACTGAAAATTCCTCATTCTTGCCAAAATACTAGAGAGGCACAAATTCTTAAATATTGGAACCATCAATTTAGCAAAGAACCTTAGACATATTCATATGAGCAGAATGTTCATATGAGCTAGGACTTGTATTAATAAGAATTTAACTATCTTATAAACGGTCATATCTCTATGAGAATTTTATGTTTTGTTTTTCTAAACACGAGGAAGCCACATTCTCTGAAATTATGCGATGGTTATCAGCTTCAACTAATTCTCACTCCATATGTTTGTATCTTTATATTTTCTCAATTCTTTGCATAAATTTGTTAGTTAAATCTAATTCTATATTATTTCAACTGAAACACAGAGAGAGTACATTGAGAATGTAATAAAGTAATTTTCTGTGGATAGCCTTAGCTGTTATATGAGTGCTGATGCTCTGAATGCTAATAGTACACTGAGTAAAAAACTCATGCCCATTTAAGAAAATGTGAGACAACCCATGACTTGCAAATTCCAAAATCCCAAAGATGAGGATTGGCAGTGAGCTGATTAGGCTGTCCAAAAATACTCTAACATATTGATAAAGCACAGTTATTCTTCCCACATTGTCTTGACTTTTACCATTTTGCTGATGTCAGCTGCATCTCAATAGGCTTATCCCTCTGTAACATCTTCACAAAAATTTGTGGTAACAATTCTCCATCAACCAAAACTAAAAATAAAAGAAACAAGAATTAAAGAATTCTTTAAGTCTACAAAGTTCATAAATTAAATCATGTAGGTGCCACTGAAAGTTCCAGCCTACCATTTACCAGGGTCATCGATACCTGGGGGTTTTCAAAAGCTAAAACTGAGAAGCATTTCAGTGCTTGCATTCGAACCTGTAACAATAAATAAACAAAAAATGCATTTATCTTGATTTTGCAAATATGAATTTTAATGTCTCAGAATCTAAACTCTTCTGAAGAAACAATTGTTTAAATCTGCTTAAAATATAAAAAGAAAGGCCTCAAGGGAAAACCTGAATATTTGGAGTACAGTAAGTTAAACTTAATTATAAAAAGTTAAAATTAATTTTCAAGTAAAAGAAAAGAAAAAACAGAAAGAAGCAGCAACTAAAATTTAATTATATAAATTCCTAATCAAATTTAAAAGAACAATGTACAAAATACAATGTTGGTAAGTCAAAGGGAGCTTAATAACACTTAATTACCAAGTACCCTTCAAGTGGGACATTTCTTCTCCCCAAACTACAAACAAGAGAACTGAAGATAAAAAAAAGAAAACAAGAAAAAAAGGTGTACTCTTAAAGTTTTGTGAGATGGGGTTGTGGCAAAGGGAACAGAAGGAAACAAAGTTAAAATCTGAAAAGGATTAAGCTAATTTATTTTTATTATTAAACCAATTTTATTTTATTTTTTAAAGATTTATTTATTTGGGACACCAGGGTGGCTCAGCGATTGAGTGTCTGCCTTTGGCTCAGGGTGTGATCCCGGGATCAAAGATTGAGTCCTGCATCAGGCTCCCTGTGGCGAGCCTGCTTCTCCCTCTGCCTTATGTCTCTGCCTCTCTCTCTCTCTGTTTCTCATAAGCAAATAAATAAATCTTAAAACAAAACAAAACAAAAAAATATTTGAGAGAGAGAGAGAGAGAGAGAGAGAGAGAGAGAGAGAGAGAGGAGGAGGGAGGGGCAGAGGGAGAGGAGTCCCAAGCAGACTCCGTGCTGACCATAGAGCCTGATACAGGGCTTGATCCCAGGACCCCAAAACCACAACCCGAGCTAAAACCAAGAGTCAGATGCTTTAATGACTGGGCCACCCAGGCGCCCCCTAATTTAACTTTTAAAACACTTATGAATTGTGCTACTATTCCTCAAAACTAGATTACTGGTCTAGGACCACACCACAGGGCCAAACTCTTAACCACATACAATGTATTTCACAATTTGCAGGAGCTCCTATAAGAACTGTTATTTTTCATTCTTTCTCTTCAGTTCTCACCGGACAATCTAATCCTCTGAGTCTACATATGATGCTCTTATGTGGAACTCAAGACTGGCAGGATAGGTAACTGAAGTGTGAAGAAGCCCTGTCCTGCATTTCAGCAAAGATCTGCAGCTCCAGCATGTGTACACCTAAAATATGGAACCTAAAATATGTCAATGACACTCTGACAATGAAGCAAACCTTGACAAAAGAATAATGTTACCAAAACCTTTTTCCTTCCACAACCTATAATCAGTTATAGTAGATAAGGGAGCTTGGTGCAGAAGATAAGTGGAGGGGGGAGAGAGGAGAAGATATAGGAGGGAGCAGACAGAGAATTTATGAAGCTAGAGGAGGGACAGTAAATAGCCACCCCAGCAATTGTTTCTTGATGTGCCAGTGCTGACTGGTTTCAGCCTCCATGTGGTACAGGGTGGAGGAAGCAGCTCTCAGTATATATTTCTTTCCTCTCCCTCTGACTAATTTCAAGCTGGCTTCATTCCCCATTCCCATCCTTGTGAGTGCTTCACTAAAATCAAACTTTGGATATCTGAAGTAGGAAAACATAGGTATTAGCAGGCTGCAACACAGAGCAGATTAGAATCAGTGCATGAGGATAGAAGACAAAAATAACTACTGCTCTCTCTGCTCTGTGTCAAAGTCCTGGCATACCAGCCATAATCTGACACAATAAGGACAATGCCCCATTATCTGTTATAACTTGCTAGCTGGACAACAATAAAATGACTACATTTTTAACATAATGCTTGATCATATATCACGACGCTGTTTATCTATATATAAAAGACAGTGAAGGAAATTAGCAAGTCTGAAAACCTTTGACTTTTTAATTCAAAATACAAAACAGAACACATTTTAAATGTGTATGTGAGTATATGCCCTGAGTCACTATGGCTGTTCAGGTTTCAAATATGAAATCAAAGTATTTCCTGATATTTCAAAGCATTACCCTATGTACAGCTTTGGCACTGATATCAGAGCAGAAGAGACTCAAAACCAATAGCAAATCAAGCCACAACCATATTTTGAAAAAAAAGTGGAAAGGCAAGGGTAGCTTTTAAAATTTTTTTAAAGAGGATTCTATAGATAAAACAATACCCCACAACATTTTGTGGATAAAATGTTATCCTTGATCACAATATCTATCAAACCAACGTAACATGTGGGCCTCCTTCTAGATCAGGACTCTAGAAACCAAAAATAAAATATAAAAATCTGGCCATAATTTTTAATATCTTACTTTGTAAGATACTGAGGTTAGTAGGTGAGCAATATTCTGAACTGCACCATGGTTAAATAAAATAGTTTGATGATCTGGACCCTGTAAGAAAAGAGAATAAAACATTAAAAAGAGTAATGAATGATTCATTCCAACAAAATATTTACTTAAATGTAGAAAAGTTCATTCACTACAATGTAGAATTCTCACCTACCCTTCTCTTGCATAAATCCATCCCAATAAAGCAGGGTAGACAAAGGGCTGCCATGTCTTACGTCATCCCAGTTCTGTAGAACTGCTGCTTCCTTACCTTACCCCCAAATAATGAAGAGGGTACAGAAGCTATCCTGGCACAGGCCCTTTGAAGTTCTTAAAAAAAGACACCATCACAAGAAGAGAACCACTGTGAATTCTGCATTTCATGTGCACAAGCTTAAACTATGCCCACTGGAGACAGTGGTAGTCATTCTTACAACTTCAGACTGATGAACTGGTCAGAGAAACAATAAAATTACTCAAGTGCAAGAAGTAGATGAGAGCTTAAACTACTTCAATACATCAGGGAAGTTTGAGTTAACGATGGTGAAAAACACAACACTCCATACAGAGAAGTGAATGTGTTTTAGTTTCTGTTTCTATGTCATTTCTCTTTTTTCAATTATCATTTCTTAGAGTAGAAAGGTAAAGAAATGGGAAAATTCAGGATGTTACTTCTCATCAACTGTTTTCTACTAAGCAATTTGCTGAAGATCTTCAAAGTGACAGAAGGTAAAGGTTAAAAGCAAGGCTTCAAAACTGCCACAGTTCTTATGCATTGATTTAGTTTTTAATTTTTTTAAAAAATTTTTACATAATCACCATAACCCAATGTGGGGCTCAAACTTACTATTCTGAGATCAAGAGTCACATGCTCTACCAACTGAGCCAGCCAAGTGCCCCTCTTATGCACTGATTTTATGTACCATATAACCATTCAAATAATGAAATCAAATCAAGGTTAAGGATGCTACTTCATGCTTATCGTTATTCAGAAGAGAAAAATACAGCACTGAAAGCTGGCTACCTATCTGGGCTCAACAGAGAAAACCAGTTGCTAGTCTAGGAAAAAATCTCTCAAATCAATTTTTCCAACCCACTATTTAGCCAAGTAATAAAGATCTTGCAGATAGTCATTCTTTCCTGGACACAAATATTCATCATTTGAAGTGGGGAGATTAGTATTCCTAGTCCTGAATCACAAAACAACCATATTCTATTTAATAGGTAGTAATTCCCTAAACACTTTATATTCTATAAAAAGGCTCTTTTAAAAAACAAAACACTTCAGCAACTTCTATTACTAACTTCTAATTTCTGATTTTTAATTGATACATAATATGCCACACTTTACTCATGCAAACTCCCATTACATATATTAGGTAGTTTCTAATGTCTTACTATTAAAAACAATGTTTTGCTGAACAGTATGAGGATAAATTCCCTGTGTGTATTGCTTGATGTATTTATCCATATCTATCTGTCCAGAATAATGCAGGGTTGCTTTTAGAACAACTAAAGATACTGACATTCTCAGGGTACAGGCTGCAAGTATGCTCTTTATCTTCCTATCTCATCTTCATCCATGCATCTGCAATTATAATTATAGGTACTACTTATTGGGTACTTGCTATGTGCTTGGGCACTGTTCTAAATGCTTTACTTCAACAGTCTCATTTAAAACATGAGTCTCCAGCTTATTCAATATAAAGACAGTGGTGTAGTCTATAATGGGGAATCTAGGAAAAGGCTCTCCTAAGAATCTGACCCATTTTTTTCTTACCTAGTAACAAGTAGGTAACTAGAATAAATTGTGAAGATAAACCTAAATTACCCTAGGCTGACAATATTATTAGCATACTAAGGTTTTTGCCTTCCATATGAATTTTAACATCCTAATTTAAATACTGGCAGTGTTTAGCAGAATAGCTAAGTAGACAGGGTGCTGCCTTCACCCTTGCACCTCACAGCTCATTCCATTCTCTGTATTTAGCCAACCTGTTCTTCTGCTTTGAGGTGGCCTAATACTAACAGATTGTTTTTACATTTTTCAAGCCATTACATACAAATACGTAAGTATATCCTTTCCCCTATTTTAACACTAAAGGTAGAATACTACCTATGTATGTGCTATATGTACTATACATATACTATACATATTGTTCTAAAGCTTTTACTTCCTTTATACTACTTCCCAGAAATCATTCATATTAGTACATAAAGAGCTTTCTTATTTCTTTTTTGGCCTTATTCCACTGTGCAGGTAAACCATACTTTAGTATCCTACTGTTAGACATTTAGATTGTTTACAGTCTTTTACTCTTAAAAACATCAATTAATATGCAGGTGCATGCATATTTTTAAGAGGTAGGTCACTTATGAAATATCTGTGTTGATCAAGTTATATTATAAAAAAGATCAAGCACAATGCAATTCATTTAACGTAACTGTTCCCTCTGCTTACAAGATACTGTAGTTTTTAATCTCTCAATTTCTGTGCCCCAGAGACTGTAGGAAATAATTACTACAAAGGACGCCCTTCTTCCTCTCTGCAGTTGTACATAGGATGGTGTAAAAACAGTAATAAAGAATTGAATTGTTGATGGCTCAACCAACTAGAGAAGGAGCTATCATTTGATTCTTGTCAAGTCTCTCTTAGGTCTCTCCAAATTAACCCGCAAGGACCTGGGCTAATGAGACAACATACACAGGGTGGGATGTGGGAAGCAAATAAGCCCTCAAGATTTTAAACTCCAAAAGACACGTCTCAGAAGTTTGAGTAACCTGTTTAAGTAGTGACAACAATTTAGTCCCAGTTAGTATTACTAGCCCTTTTTTTTTGCTCCTTAATCAATCAAGGAGAGAATTTCAAAGATATAATTAGAATGATATTAGCAGTTAAATTTTAGGAGAGTCAAAAGGTATATGCCTATTTTTGACTGAGCAGGGTTTGGCCACCCCTGACCCTCACATTGTTCAAGGGTCAACTGCATTTGCAAAGTTATGAATGAGTCTGAAAATGGACTATGAATCTTAAGCCTATATGTAAATTGAACAACCTGAAAGTAAAAGGTTTTTATGGTTAATAACTATACAGAGATCATTGGATCAGTTGTTTTCAAAGATTCATGCTAGTAAATCAGTAAAAAAATTAATATTTATATTAGACTATGGTCAATGGGTTTATAAAGGCTATAATATTTCCTAAGGTTTAGTTATATCTCAAAACACTTGAATTTGGTCATTTAATTACAGTGGCAAATACTAATTACCAGGCTAAAAGAAAGCTGACTTAAGGTGATTTTCTCTGGTAACATTTTCAGTTCCGTTAGTGGCAGGAGGGTGCCTATAAATTCTTACTCAGCATAAGATTCTCTCCAGTAAAAGAACTAGTGATTTAATGGTATTCTTTTATCTATGATTTTCAGCTAAAAAGTACTGAGAAGTTTCAGGTGAACAAGCCTAAAGGGATTTAACATTTTCTAATGAGCAATTCTAAAAGCTATTTAGGTAACTTCTGGAAGGGATTATTCAAACTGCTCATAATATAACATTTAGTAATTACATCTCCAGGTCCAATTTTCAGTGCCCCTTTAGATTACTGTGGTTATAACTAGTATATGCCAAGCTCTTAAACACTCAGGTATAGATGTAGAAAGATTTTTAACGAGGCACAGGAGTTCTAGAGTATCTTTCTTTACCTACCTGGCTACAAGATTTCATTTCACTACTGGAAAATTCTACAACCTGTTAAGTTTAGATCATTTTTAGCAAGTGAATTGCAACAAAATTGTCATTTTCTCAAAATCTTTCTTTGCTCGTCTCAAAAGATTAAAGAAGTGTTTGACATCCTTGGACCTATGAGTTGGCCTACACACCGTCAAAGCAATCTGGGAACGGAAACTTCAAGGATTTTTGGCAAAATTCTTAAATTTTAAATGTTTTAAACAGAACTAAATAGGCTGTGAAAGCCACCTAGGATTTGGGCGAGAAGGGTTAAACAAATCAATGATACTTTTTCTGGAACCAAGTGATTTAATTTTCATTTATTTGGGCAACTGTTCTAAAAGAGCATAGATGTGTGAACTTCCTGCTTTCCTATGTAGGTGTTCATTTCTCTTTCCTTTATTCCCTATAGTTGCCCAAATTCCTCACTTCGTCTTTGTATTATAAATATAAGAGGATGAGTAATGCTATCCTGAAAAATTTATAGAACCATCAGAAGATAAATATTTGGTTAGAGATTACCAAATGTGTAAAAATTATGAAAGATCTCAAATAAATAATCATCACCCATGGCTATCAAAAGACTACACTCAGTATGTAAACTATGAAGTAAAATAAGTAGCACTTTATAGCACTCTTCAGTTTAGGCTGAGACCCTTTTATGAACAGAAATTTCAATGAAGAGCAGAGAAGAATTTCTCATTTCTCCTTATATGAGATCACTTAAGACAATTTCCAACAACAAGGGTGTGGAGAAATAGTTATGATCACACACTGCGAGTAGGAGTATAAAATGGTACAACCTCTATACAAGATGATATATGGTAAGACTATAAATGTACACATTCTTTGACTCAGCAACTCTGTTTCTTATAAAATGTCTTACACAAGATATTTCTGCAACATTTTTTTATAATAAGGTAAGACTGAGAACAAGGCAAATGTCTAACAACAGAGAACTGGTTAAACAAATTATTAGGTATCTATATAGTAAAATACTATACGGCTATTAAAAAAAGTAAGGGAGCTCCTTATGTACTGATATGGAATAGCTTTCAAGATATATTAAGTGGAAAATGCAGGGTAGAGAATAGTGCGTATGGAATGCTACCATTTGTGTCCAAAAAGGGGAAGAGAATATATACAAAAGTCTGTTTATATATAAAAACAGGGGAGGGGATAGAATATACATAGGTCTGCATAGTTATATATGTACAGGTTATCTCTGGGAGGATACACAAAGAAGGCACATCTCCTGGGGGCATGGAAGATTTTACATTACAGACAAACATTTATTCTGGTTCTTACTTTACAGCAGTGTGAGAAGATCTGACAGATGTACTCCTGGGTATAGCGGGACCTGCTAAGCAGTGCCATGAGGTGCGGTATCACCGTGGCATCCTGGAGTCAAAGGAAAAGAGAGCAACAATGAACTTAGGCACTGTGAATACATCTAACAAACTATTTCCATGAGCAGGTACATATGCAAGCTTCTTAATCACAGTAAATCAAGTCTTTTTAAGGAACACAGCAAAACGAAAACAAGAGTCACCAAAACTGTTTAGGCAAAGGACGAGGGGCTTCAATATTCATCCTCAATAACAAAATACAAGAGTGAGAAATTCTCAACTTCTCTCCCATAAACAGCCTACATCCTCATAATAAGACAAAATCATTTCAAAAGACTTGACAGAAATCTGTTCTGAAACCAAAATGTGAGCTAATAAGATATATAATAACAGCCTATAAGGAAGAATTACTGCATAAAAATAAGACTTAACAGCTTTGATCTCTGAGATCTTGCAGTATCAGTGGCTAGTAAAAATCCTAATGACGATAGTTAGCTAATTTCAATCTTCACAAGACAATTTGTAAAATATCAACTTCTCACTTAGAGCACGATTCTGCCTATTGCTGACACTTAGCAATAAACAAGTCAGTGCAGTAGAAGAGAGGAGAATCCCCCAATCTGCTGCACAGCTCTCCAAGAATCTCCTTCTTAGGGTGCAAAGGGAATTCAAAGTTGAAAGGGTACTTGGTCTGAACCACAGATGGAAAAGGAGACTTAGCTCAAGTCTCCTAGTCAATGCTGTCATGAGTCCTCGAGCTATACTTCTTCAATATGAATGTGCATGCAATTCCCAGGGATAGTCATTATGTACAGATTCTGATTCTATAGGTTTGGAGTAGGATCTAAGCTTCCAGATGAGGCCAACACTGCTGGTCCACAGGTCACACTTTGACAAAAGACAACAGAGGGCAAGGAAGGAAACTTAAGAGTATCACTGTGTAGATGAACAAGACTTAGGGTTTCCCTTAGAAAGAAAAGAATGCTCAAAATATATAACCGCTAAGTAAGAAAACAGAAGGCTATTAATTCCCTTTAAGTAAAATCTTTCTCTTTGCTTGTTAGTATAACCTTCTGTGTTATCACAAGTAGTTTATTTTATTTTATTTTTTAAAAAAACGTTGGTTAGATGCCACGAAGTAGGTGGCAATGCCTTAACTGTATGTGTGTTGTCAGGCCCAAGGGCCTCTTCCATCCTTGTCAAGGGGAGTGCTATTCTCTCCTTTCATACAACACTATCACAAGTAGTTTAAAAGCAAAATGAAAAATTTAGAAAACCCAAAGGAAAAAAAAAAATACCCAAAGAAAGTCAGGTAGTAAATGTATAGAAAGAAGAGAGATGAGAATGTCAAGTACATGTCTATTTTATAAAGGGGGGAAGAGAGGAAACAGTAGGTCCACTGGCAGAAGACAAGGAAGCAGGTAGCAGCTAAGAAAGAACAGGCAATTGAAGGATGATATGAAAGCTTCTATTAAACTCCTTAATTACTTCCACCTCCTTTCTTTCCTCCATTGCTCTTTCATCCCTCAGTTTTCCTGTTATAACAGCCTCATCCCATTTCTTCACGCCTGCCCTGTTTCTGCCAATTGTTTTACAGATCTACAATTTATAGTTGATTAAACAAAGCAAAGAACAGTTACATAATTTGCCCAGTCACCCAACTGACAAACAGGATTTCAAACTAGACATCCCACCTTCTTTTAAGTGGCCAACACTGTCCTCAGTTTAGTGCTTGAGTTGCTGTGCCAGCTATACAGTCCAACTCACAGATGGGAGTTAATTACACTAAAACACTGTCTGTCATCATCCCATCCAAAACTCTTTACAGATCCACCATTGTCTCTGAGGCATAAAACAGACATTGTCACTGTGAAAGCCACTTAATGTCCCCTGGGTCATAATTTTTCTTATGTAAAAAAGTGAAGTTCGTGTAGACCAGTTTTCCAAAGTATGTACCATGAATCATTAGTGGTTCATAAAATAATTTTGGAGAGCAAGGAGGAAGGAGTTAAAACTGCTGGCCAGGACCAATTTCTCACTTACTGGGCTAGGAGTTGGACAGTAAAGTCTAGGGTAAAGATGACAGGTGATTGGTTTAAACTCTTTGTACGCATCACAATAGGACCTTCACAGAAACAGACTGACACTTACTAGGAGAAGAGTCTTTCTCGGTATAAAGCTTTGAGGAGGATGTCCCCAATTTAGGACTGCTTACAGTAAACCAGCAGTCCTCAAAGAGTGGTCCAGCAACCTCTGAGCTATCTGGGAACTTGTTAGAAAAGCAAATTCTTAGACCCTACCCCAAACTCACTGACTCAGAAAGTCTGGCAGAAGGCTCTAACAATCTGCACTTAATAAGGCCTCCAGCTAATCATGGTCCTTGCTCAATTTTGAGAACAATACCAACTTATAAGGAATGGCTCCCTGAAGAATACTGCACAAATCCCTGAGGTTTAAAACTGAGATGTCTTGGGATCCCTGGGTGGCGCAGCGGTTTGGCACCTGCCTTTGGCCCGGGGCGCGATCCTGGAGACCCAGGATCGAGTCCTGCGTCGGGCTCCCTGCATGGAGCCTGCTTCTCCCTCTGCCTGTGTCTCTGCCTCTCTGTCTCTCTCTGTGTGACTATCATGAATAAATAAAATATTTAAAAAATAAAATAAATTAAAATAATAAAATAAAATTGAGATGTCTCATAATTTAGAGCATCCCTGCTGTGTAAAGTGATCCATGAACCTCACTTACAGACTTTATGTACCATTATCGGACAGAGGAGCATGTATCTTATGTGGGGAAGATGGACAATGGAGCTTCATGATATGCCCCCTCTCCCTGCTTCCTTTGCAGGAAGGATTATTTATATTCTTGAAATACTTGTTAAATGTGATTCTAGATAAGATCTCTGACTTATATTTGTCCTATCCGACATTGTGATTCTTTGTGTTGGCTCAGAGAATCACAACCAGCATTATTCTAAAAACGAGAAAAGGACAGACTAGAAACCAGAAGGCATCACATTTATTGAACCGTTCTGTGAAGATGGTCTCAGGAAAATTCTTTCTCACAAACACACACACACTCACACACACACAGTGTGGCAATGGAAATTTTTTTTTAAAGATTTTATTTATTTACTTATTCATGAGAGACACACAGAAAGAGAGACATAGGCAGAGGGAGAAGCAGACTCCATGCAAGGGAACCTGATATGGAACTTGATCCCGGGGTTCCAGGGTCATGCCCTGAGCCGAAGGCAGACGCTCAACCACTGAGCCACCCAGGCATTCTGGAAAATGTATTTCTTATTGTGGATTATAAATCACAGAGTTTGAAAAACATTGGCCTGGATAATGTTCAATTGAGAAAGTCCTTTGTAGTCAATAGATAAAAAAGCCCCCTAATAATTTCTGAAGTTTAAAAAACAATGAATGACTCCAAAGATCTCTGGATTCTCTCACACATATTCTCTGATTCTAGCCTGGCAAGTAAGCCTCCTGCAAGAAAGTTCTGGTTCATCTCTTCCATTGAAATGAACACTGACGCCCTTCCCACATTAGACTAATTCTGCCTAATGTCTTGCATATTCTCTTGTACACAAATCTCACCTAGAATGTCCTCTTTCCTCTCCACCTCTCTAAATCTTACCCATTATTCAAGATCCAGGTCAAATTCTCTGTAAAGCCTACTCTGTTGGATTTAACCTAGAGGGAATACGTTAAATATACTGCCTTAATTTGATATTAAGAGATCAAAATGGGTCTCTCTCTTTTTTTAAAAGATTATTTATTTATTTGTTTGTTTGTTTATTTATTATAGACATAGAGAGAGAGAAAGAGAAAGAGGCAGAGACACGGGAGGAGGGAGAAGCAGGCTCCATGCCGGGAACCCAATACAGAACTCGATCCCGGGACTCCAGGACTGCGCCCCGGGCCAAAGGCAGGCGCCAAACCGCTAAGCCATCCAGGGATCCCCTGGTCTCTCTTTTTTTTAAACAGCTTATAAACTCCTCAAGCTCTAACAGTATCTTTCACTTCTTTATAATACCTAGAACATTTGATATTTGAAAATTAGCAAGAACTAAAATACTTCCTGAGACTTTTCTATAATATAACATAGTTATGATGAGTTCTGAGGTTCTGAGTAAGGTAGAGGTATGCTGTTAGTGAAATGTAACTGATGATTTGAAAACTTCCAAAACTCACTGTATACAGTAGCTCCTCTGGTGTGACAGGACTGGTGAAGATGGTGCGCAGGCAGCGAAGACAAGCTTCAATGAACTTTAGGTCTGGAGACAGTAGTCCTATTAATAGAAAATAGATGTGAGACTCATCCATTCAATTCATATTTTAAACACTGCAAACTGATTCTAATTTTTTCTTACACAAAAACAATTTCCTTACATACCTTGCAGTAAGGCAGGGATAATATGGCAATCTAGAAGAGACTTGACATTGTTTTCAGTACCCATAGCAAGACTTCCTAATACCACTGCACATTCAGTTTTCAGCTCTGTACTTGAAGTTTCTTGCTGAAGCAAGTACAACAATCTAAAAAGAAGGAATTTCATAAACAGAGGAGACTGAAAAAATTAAATCAGCTAAATGTAATGTGACAGAAAAATGCTACTAATATATCCCACATACTAAAAACATGGTCAGTGAGCTCACAGAAGGCTAGGAAATGATCATTTGTTTATATCTGCTACTAATTTAATAAAGGAATATTTGGGTAAAAACTCAAGAAGAGATGTTCTTTATTCTGAGCAAAAGGACTATTATGTATAATCTTAGACTTTATCAGAACTATTAATCTGAAAGTTGTCCATAAGTAGAGAGAGCAGTACCACAGTCCATGTTATCTGCCACTCCAGGATATGAAGACTCAGAATATTCAATGCCAAGTGCTGTCAGATCTTAAATTTAGACTAGAAAGGGACCTGGACTATCCAGAAGTATGGTTCAGAAATCACAGAGGTTTCACTTAGGAGGAATATTCAGAGTCCTTGTGGAGCTCTTCAAGCAAGGGAAACTCTTCTTTCTTCAATTTTCCCATTTGGGGAATCAGGAGATCCTCCCATTTCCACTCCAGCCCTGCCTGCCAAGCAACTACTCCTCAAACTCTAATCATCCATTACTTAATGACCATCTCCTTTATGTTCTAAGGTAGAACATCCATGTTCCTTAAAGTACATTTATTTACAATGAACACTAATGCCCTAAGAAAGGCTGCTGAGAGCTTTATGGTTATCAAAGTATATATTTGAGGTCAGTTATGATAAAAACAATAAAACCATCGATCCTTTATCAAAAGACAGAAATGAAAAGAAAAACTAGAACATTAAAAATTCTGAATAAAAAACTTAAAGCAACTGCACATAAAATTTAGTTGAGTAGCAAAGGCAAAGAGAAAGTTATACAACTATCATTGTCTATCATAAAGAAGAGTATTTATATTTAGTTCATCAGAAAAAGATCAAACTTTCTAAGTTAGAAAACAGCAAATTCTAATAATTAGAAATTTAAAAAAGAAAAGCAGAATTTAAAAAGTTGGCTTTTTTTTTAATTCAAAAGAGGTTTTGAGACTCCTAAGAAATTATTATCCAATCATATAAAATTGCCAAGGTTCTGAGGAGATGAAGAATTAGGCTGGTGTATATCATCTACCTACCCAACACATTCTTTTATTACAGGGCCAATAATCTTCCTGAATTTCCAAAAAGTATTAACACATTTGCTTCATATTCCATTCTCTAGTACTTAAACATTTCTAAAGAGATGCTTCGTATATTTCAAAGCATTTATTTTAAAAATTAAAAGGCTTTCAAAAATAGGATAGACAAAACAGAAAAAAGATGGGTATTATGGATGAGAATGAGAAATATATTAGAAACTTCATATGAACATCAGAAAAGGGATTAATAGCAAACATACCTTGGAACAGCTCCTAAAACAATGAGATTGGCTTTCTGCTTGTTGTTCCCAATTACAGCATTTTTCATGTCTCTGAATTCAGGGGAAGAGAAAGGGGTAAGGTTGAGCCAACACTGAAAAATCAGTAATCAATTAATTCCACTTTATCTTTATTATTCAATATCTTGGATTGGCAAATATAGAAGTTAGTGACAAAGTCAAATTCACTTGGAGTACCCAAGAGAAGGAACAGATAGGTGCTGAATGAGCCTGGGGGCTATAAAAAAAGGATAGCATGGGAGGGCAAAGTGGGAGATACCCTGAGTATGCCTAAAAGACTTCCAATACAAAGCATGTTGAGTTCTTTCAGGGATCATGACTTCGTTCCTTTCTTTTTTTTCTGACTTCTTTGAACTGAATACTTTTTTTTTAATATATTTTTTTAAATTTTTATTTATTTATGATAGTCACAGACAGAGAGAGAGAGAGAGGCAGAGACACAGGCAGAGGGAGAAGCAGGCTCCATGCACCGGGAGCCTGACGTGGGATTCGATCCCGGGTCTCCAGGATCGCGCCCTGGGCCAAAGGCAGGCGCCAAACCACTGCGCCACCCAGGGATCCCTGAAATGAATACTTCTTATGATTTCATTTTATTTCCTTTATTGCCTTATTAGTTGTGCTTTTTTGGGTTCTGATTTGGGTTTTTTTAGTGGTTGTTTTACAATTTATAATATGTATCTTTTAACTTATCTCAGTCTTCAAGAGATAGTATCTCATTTCATTTGCATTTTAAGAGTCTTGCAACCATATACTTCTTCCATTTCTCCATAAATTCTTTGTGTTATTACTGTCATATGTATTTTATTTTTCAACTGATTAGAAATAGCAATATACTGTTACTATTTTTTACTTAAGCAGCCAATTACCTTTTAAAGAGATTAAAAAATAAGAAAAAAAATCTTTCATATTTTTCACATTCTCACCAGTATTTTTTATTCTAGCTATATTCAGATCTTTACTTCATCAGGAGTAAAACTATTCTACAAGAAGAGTATCTCTATGAATGACCAATTGGTTCACAAACACTGATTAGTCCCAAAGGACAGGTAGAGAAAAAAAATAAATGACTCAAAATAAATCTAGTACTAATAAAATGATTAATAAAGAAGACTTATCCTAATTGGTCAGTAATGCTATCTTAATAAAAACACTATAACATTATGTGATTCTACACAGCAGTGATTCTCAAAGTGGGGAAGAGAGTAGTAATAAAGCCTCACAGAGGCATTTCAGAAGTTTATGCGGGTGCCTGGAAATTTCTGGTCACAGTTTTATAATTAAACAGAAAGTGTTTTTGTACTGTTTTAAAGAAAACTGTATTTTTCAGTATTACATCTGGCCCTGTAAATAAAAAGAAGATTATACTTTTTATTAGAAGTTATTTCATTTTGAAAAATCAGATAACTAGCACAGTGGCCACATATCAATATCATATGTCAGTCCACATTTTCAGCTCTTGCGCCCATACTATTTCATTAAGTTTTTTTACTGTATTCATGCCTAAACATTTACATATGGAAACATTACAAATTATCTTTTAAAAAAGTTCTCCCTTGGGGCAGCCTGGATGGCTCAGCGGTTTAGCGCCGCCTTCAGCCCAGGGCCTGATCCTGGAGATCTGGGATTGAGTCCCACATCAGGCTCCCTGCATGGAGCCTGCTTCTCCCTCTGCCTGTGCCTCTGCCTCTCTCTCTCCTCTCTGTGTATTCTCATGAATAAATAAATAAAATCTTTAAAAAATAATAATAAAATAAAATTAAAAAGTTCTCCCTTATAAGCAGGGAAGGCATTATATTATATTTGGAGTTATGTATGTGAGAAGTTGTATTGTTATGGATTTAATTTCAGGGTGGTACAGTGGTCATTAAGAAATATTTATAGAAAAAAAAAAAAAAAGGGAATCCCTGGGTGGCGCAGCGGTTTGGCGCCTGCCTTTGGCCCAGGGCCCGATCCTGGAGACCCGGGATCGAATCCCACGTCGGGCTCCCGGTGCATGGAGCCTGTTTCTCCCTCGGCCTGTGTCTCTGCCTCTCTCTCTCTCTCTCTGTGTGACTATCATAAATAAATAAAAAATTAAAAAAAAAAAAAAAAAAGAAATATTTATAGGATGGAGTCAGGTCTGACTATGTTAAGATCATTGCTACAGAACTTCAAAGTTCTTAGCTCTTGTATTTCTTTCATATCCCAAAATAAGTTCCCCTACATTCTCACCCAGCATCTCTTTGACTCTTTTAGGTGACAGCACTCTAACGTATATATGAAATTTTTTGCCAACTTTGAAACTTAGAATCCTAAAAAATTCTAGAATTGGCAAACCATGATTTTGTAGAAAAACAGAATAGAAAACAGAAGGAGAAAAAGTTACTTTTAAAAAAATCAACAACTAAATGTTATAATTAGCATGTGTTTCCAATACCAACCAAATTCACTGGCATTAAAAACTCTGGTAATAATTATAATACCCTTTCTCCTCAATTACCTTCCTCAATTATGACAGAAAAATAATGCTATGATGCAGTCATCTGCTGAAAGCTGATTCTCACTGCAAGTTTTTGAATGGCATTTTCACACATTTTGAGCCAAACACTATTGGCCTAGTCTTCCAGTAGCTCAATGGAGCTGAGTGTAGGTCTATTTTTTTCAGGGACTAATCTATTTCTCTCTGTAAACTATCACTCAGATCTTCCATATGGTTCACAGGGGATAAGTAGGAATATTTTTTCATTTATGGGGACTAAGCTGAATGAAGTTTAATAGGGTTTTAACCAAGTTCTTTTTTTTTTTAACCAAGTTCTGATAGACAATTATAAAATTACGTGATATCAAAGACTCACTTAGCAAAGTATAGTGGGTAAGACTATACATCTAGGCTTCCGTCTCCTTATAGAGACTTAGTTCCCAATCATCAGCTTATAGACCCTAACTTAACAGTCTGCCATTTGTTTTCATCTTCTTTCCTTCTCTGAATGTGTTCTATACTAATGTAGCATATCTATTTGTCCAGCAGCTATCTATTGAGAGTCTTCTTGTGCCAGGTGCCATTCCGGATGGTTTCTCTATTCTGGAATTCCCAACAGGACGTTTCCCCAGATTTCTGTTCTTCCTAAACTAAGCAGAAATGAAGTGTCCCCAAATTACCTTATAAACATGTTCCAAATATCTGAAGCTATGCAAAAGTAAATATTTTTATAGACAAGAATAAAAACCCCTCCAAAACCAATTTTCCAGTTCTCTTAATAGTTTGCAAATACAACAAAAACAAAAACAAAAACCAACCAAACAAAAAACCTATGAAGAAAGTAATTGGTAGTTACAGAGTAAATGCAGACTAAAGAGAAACAATTAATAAAATGGGTCAATGGCTAAAGAAAATAATTCTTCTGTGGCTCTAATAAATAAAATAGATCTATGCTACATAAGGAAGAAGAGACTTTTATGTCTAGCAAATACATTCTATTCAATTTTTACTATAAAGAAATACTAGAAAATCATGTCTATGAAATACAACCGAAGAGATAATCATCACATATATCCATCTTTAGCAGGTCTAAATATGGTACAGGATTCAATTTCAGAGCCAGCTAGAGTGTAGCTATTCTCTCTCTTTCATCTTCTTATCCCTCTCATACTTCCCCCTGGCTAACTTTACTCATCTTTCGGGTCTGACCTTAGATAATAATTTCACTTTCTCCAGGAAGCTTATCCTGACAATTCCCAGGTCTGGGTTAGATTGTCCCTGTTAGCTGCCCTCTATTCATATCACTACTTTGATAGGACAGAAGTCTGTTTCCTCTTCAGAGGCAAGAAAGCCAATCTGACCTGCAAATATCAGAGAAGTTACTATCAATGGATCACAAAATGCACCATATAGAAATCCGCATTTTTATAAAATACAAACTCAAATTATCCAAGATGGGGGCACAACAAAATTATGAAAACCTTATATATTGCTTTGAAGTTTACAAAGCATTCCATATCCATTATATTATGTACTATTCATCAAAACCTTGACTAATATTAACCCCATTTTACTGATGAGGAAGCTAAGACTCAGGTTCAGGACTTTTCTCAGAGCTCTACATTAAATGACAGAGCCAGTTTCAACCCGTGTCTTTTATGCCAAGTGTTGTTTCCATTACCTCTAGCATACCATCAGGCATTCAGAACAAACTGATCGAAAAGTGAGCTAACGTATTTCCTTTTCTTCCTGTGTTTCAATTTTACATTTTTATACAAAATGAAAAAGCATTTCTAGCTTTCAATTAAAGACATCCTCTTCCCAGTAGATCAAAGAAATATATATCATGTATTTACCAACTTTTAATGTTAGAGGAAAAAAATGCCCTCCTTATATACTACTGAAATTCAACAATTAAGCTTTGAGCTCAGCAATGTTAGGCTCTATGAAGGATACAAGAGCATCACACAATGTGATGCTTGAAGAGTTTACAATCTCCTTTAAGAGATTAAAATAACACTAGCAATGTAAGGTGGTGCTATATCAAGTGCTTACAGGGCTAAGTAGATGATCCGACAAGCTTAACAGGCTTTGTTTTGGTTTTTTGGTTTTTTTAAAAAAAATATTTTATTTATTTATTCATCAGAGAGAGAGAGAGAGAGAGAGAGAGAGGCAGAGACGCAGGCAGAGGGAGAAACAGGCTCCATGCAGGTGGTGGTGCTAAATCAAGTGCTTACAGGGCTAAGTAGATGATCCGACAAGCTTAACAGGCTTTGTTTTGGTTTTTTGGTTTTTTTTAAAAAAATATTTATTCATCAGAGAGAGAGAGAGAGAGAGAGAGAGAGAGGCAGAGATGCAGGCAGAGGGAGAAACAGGCTCCATGCAGGAAGCCCGACGTGGGACTCAATCCCGGGTCTCCAGGATCACACCCTGGGCTGAAGGCGGTGCTAAACCGCTGAGCCACCCAGGCTGCCCACTTAACAGGTTTTGAAGCAACAGGAGGAACTAAATCAATCTTAGAAAATGGCCAGGATTTGGATAGTGAATGGGAAGGGCAAATGGAAAAGCCATTTAT